ATTTGGGGACCCCCATAAATGCCCCTCCAGTCCCTCCTACCCCTGCCTCTGGGGATTGTTCTGGTGCTGAGGTCCCAGCCCACAAGTCCAAGGTCCCTCCCAGTGCCCACGTCCTTGACCCCAGCCCCTTCCCTCTGGCACAAGCTGCAGAGGATGAAGGTCAGCTGGTGAGGGAGCAGCTGGAGCAGCTCTGGGGGTGGGCAAGGCTGACCGGGAACAGCACTGCCCATGCCCGGCAGAAGCTGCTGCATGACCTGGGAATGGGGTCCCCTGAGCCCTCATACCCAGTGAGCTCTGCGGCCCAGCTGGAACTAGAGGGGCAGCCTCTGAATAGCAAGGGCTCCATAATGAAGAGAGGTGTTTGCGCCCACCTTGGCCTGCCCCAGGGTGGGCCAGGAGGGCTGGGCAGGGGCTGGAGGGCTGAAGGAGGCAGTCTCCAATCTGCCCCATCCTCTCTGGCCGTGGAGCAGGGATGGCTGGGGCGGGTACAGAGGGCTTTCTGTCCCCAGGCCAGGGCTGCCTGGGAAGATGCTGCTCTCTTCCTCCAGCTGAGTGCCCAGCTGGCTCAGCTAGCGGAGCGGCTGGAGCAGCTGGCAGAGCGAGCAGAGGCCCCTGGCCAGGTGGTGGCACATACGGCGTCCGTTCAGGAACCGTACCTCCCACCGGGTACCCCAGGGCCTTCAGGGGTCACCGTAAAGAGCATGCACGGCCAGGCCCGGAAGGTGGGCTCGAGTGCCCCAGGTGCACAGGAAGCCAGGTGGGGTGGGCGTGGGGCTTTGTGCCCAAGGCTGGGTTCCCGGGGCGGTCCTCTCTCTCCCCAGCTGTGTTCCAGGCAGAGGTGAAGCCTCTGGAGGGGTGCTGGTTAGAGGGTCAGGCGCAGGACGCTGGGCTGAAGACCACCTACAGGCCAGCTGAGCAGATCTGGTGGCGCCCGGTGGAGCTGGTGGCCAGCAAGGAGGGGCTACAGCCCGAGGGCAGCTGGGACCAAGCCCTGAAGGTGCCTTGGAAGACTGGGGCGATGGGGAAGAGCTTGCCCCAGAGTCCTGTGGGAGGAGAAGGGTGACCACAGGGAAGCTGGACAACTTGGGGGCTCTGGGTCTGGGGCCCCGTCTGCTGGTAGGAAGGCCTCCGGAGACTGGCCCTCTTGCGGGGTGAAGAGGGTGCAGCAAGGAGGAAGGACAGCTGGGGCAGGCAGGGCTGACCAGAAGGATTTCTGTGGCAATCTCTGGACTTGGCTCCCATCCCTCCAATAACCTCAAGTCTCCATGACAAGGCCGCCTTGCTCTCCTAGCAGGATCAGGACCAGAGGTAAAGGCAGGACCTGGCTGCCAGCCCTCAGAGGTGGGTCTAGCCAGCCAAGGACGCTACCTCTGGGGACAGCACTGCCCAACCTCTAAACAGTATTAGGGTGGGGACAGAGAGGGCAAGGTATCTGTGCACACCTTCCATCTTTTCTATCAAGAGGAGCTCCCAATTAAGATCACAGTGTTGCTATTTATGACTTCGATTTATGCAGTAACCGGAAAGAAAATATATATTTGGAGCAAGACATAAAGAAATTTAATTCTAAAGTACAGGTTGGGTGTCTCTCCTACTTTAATGCAACCTTGGGGCCCAGCCTGGGAGTCAATAGAGTGCGTTCCACCCTGGCTCTGCCTTCCTTCTCCTCCTGTAATGTGGGAGAAGCTGGGACTTGCAAGAGGCAGCTTCGACGTGTTCCTCCTGCCCTGAAGTCCCAGATCTCCTTCTTCACTTGCTCTACCAGGTTGAGTTCTCAGACTGGGGGACTGTCGTAGTTTGCTCAGGCTGCCATGGCCGCTTAAACAACAGAAGCGTGTTGCCTCACAGTACTGGAGGCTGGAAGTCCCAGGTCAAGGTGTCGGGGTGGGGGAGGGGGCGGGTGGTGGTGGTTCCTGTCGAGGTCTGTGAGGGAATCTGCTCCAGGCCTCTCTCCTTGGCTTGTAGACAGCGTCCTCTTCCTGTGCCTTCACATCGCCCTCCCTCCGTGTGTGTCTGTGTCATAACCTCTTGTGTTGATGAGGACACTAGTCAGGGCCCATCCCACTTCAGTAGACCTCAGTTCAACCAACTTTATCTGCAACCACCTTCCAAAGAAGGTCACATTCTGAAGGGCTCAGGAGTTAGAACTTCAACATAACGAATTTGGGGGGGACACAATTTAATCCTCACGAGGGAGTAACCCCTGCTGGCTCTGCTGGCCTTTCTTCAACCCAACCCTGAGCGTCCAGCAGGGCAGGGGCTGTGTTCCCTGCTGCGCTGACTGGGCCAGCCCATGTCACGTCTCCTTGCTTATGGAGGGGCCAGTGTCAGGCACAGGGTGGAGGGTTCAGGATATGGGGCTACCATGGGGAACAGAGGTAGAAGGGCCTCTTGGAGGCAGGCAGGCTGTGAGCCTCCTCTGATGGCAGGGTTTCCCATGTGAGCCTCCTCTGATGGCCGTGTTGAGAACAGCCCCTGACACTGTCTTTGCCATGGGGGGGGCCGGCCCTGTGAGGAGGGGCTGCCTGTGAGGGCACCTGCCACCAGGGCCTGCTGCTGGAGCAGCTGGGCTGCTGGGCTGCAGCGTTTGGCCCTTTGATGGAGAGGTCAGCCTGCCACTCTGCTCTGTGCCCACCTCACTCCCACCCGGCCCTGCATCCTGCCCACCTCTGCCACACCACTGCTATAGGCCGGGCATCCTGGAGGAGACGGCGATGCTCGCCATAGGCCACTTTGTGGAGGAGCTGTTCGCACTACCCCACAGGCTGAGCCAGGACGAGCCCCAAGGGACCAAGGGAGGACCTGAGACCAAGGACTGTGGCCTACACAGTGATCTCCTGGACCAGGCTGGGGTCAGCATGGTAACACTGCTCTTAGGTGCCCTGGCACCCCCTCCTTGGACCATGCCCTCTGACCCATGGGGTGCTCTGGGGTGAGCGGGGTGGACTGCAGGGCTGGGCACAGCTCCTGAGGGGCTCTGGGTGCCTGGTGGCCAGCTTGGGCAGAGCGCACCAGCTCAGGAGGCGGTGGCGGCAGGTAAAGCAGGGCGGGATGGGGCATAGGGGCCTTACCTCACCGGCCTCCTGACACCCCCCGCTCCCAAATACCCTGAGGCCCCTCCTTCCTGTGAGGTGGTACAGGCCCAGGCCTGGGGGCTGCTGGGATGAAGCACTGGACTGGAGGAAGTGCCCCAGGGAAGGTGTTGGCTCTGAGGGGCCCTGGCCAGGGACAGCCTGGGAACCTGGGGAGTAGGACAGTCGCCCAGGCTTGCCCCCAGGGGCATTCCTGGAAGAGCTAAGCTGGAGGCCACCACGGGGAGCTGGAGCCACAGGAAGAGGAGCCGGTGTGACAAGGACCAGTAGCAGTGCCTGGGGCAGGGTCCGCTGCATGCAGCCAGCCCACGCCTTCAGGTGAGGGGCAGGTAGGCACGCTGCCCACCCCTGCGCACACAAGAGAGACCTAGGCCTGGCAAGCCTCACACCTCCTTCCCATAGCAAGGGGCTGGCACACACCTGGATTTCGTGGCCTGGCAGCAATGCTGCCTGCAATGGCTTGGCCACAGGAAGAAGGCGCTGGGCGCACTCCGGGCCACAAGCCATGGCCAACACGGCCACACTTCCCAGCAGGAGGTCATGGACAGTGTCCTGGTGTCCGGCGAGCAGGACTGGGGCTGGGTGCAGCTGGCCAGCATACCTTGCAGGGATGTGGTCCCACGTCAGAGCTCTCTCCTCTGTCGAGGCCAGGGCTCTCCAGCAGCCAGCAGCAGCCACACAGCATGGGCAGTGTGGGGGACATGGTTGGGGACAAGCGCACAGGTGGCCAGAGGCCGGCCAGGGTCCAGGGAGCGTTGGTGAGCAGGTGTGAGCATGGGCCTGGTGGGCAGGGGTGAGGGCAGAGCCATGGGAGCTGACCCCAGCACCATCCACCCGGAAGCCCGGACCCCCAAACCCTGTGCCTGTGCAGATGTCTCAAGGGGCCCTCATGGTTCACGTCGGAGGTGGCTGGGTGGCCCTGGATGAGAATCTGGTCAAGAATGCCCTGGGCAGAGGTGAGGTGTGGGAGAGCCAGGAGACTGAGACCTCAGGGCTGAGGTGATAGAGGAGCAGAGGCCTTGGGCTCTGCCCTGGGGGCCTGCTGGATACCTGCTCTGCCCCTGTCCATCTGGGATCTCTGGGCAGCGAAGGGGAGGACCAGCCAGCAGAGCCATGAGAGGTTCCTGTCCTGGGCTGTGGTCCCCAGCAGGCGGGACCCAGGTGGTGTCCCAAGGTTCCACCTGCAACACCTCCAGCAGCCCCCTGCCCCGGAAGGTGGGTGCTAGGATGTGCGTCTGAGAGGGGGGGCTAGGTACTCCTGGGTGGACAGTGGACCTCCTCTGAGCCTGGGTGGAGGAGCTGGACCCGTGGGGTGAGGCCTGACCATCCTTTCCAGACAGGACTGGGAGTCTGCTGGGGACACAGAGACCCCAGCTCTTCCAAGGTCAAGGCTGAAGAGGGGCGCATGGAGGGGAGTCCCTGAGGACACGCTGGCTCAGCCCACCCAGAACTAAACAGCAGCGGAGGGAGCCGGCCCCAGGGAAGTGAGCAAGGCCTGAGGACAGCCAACCGGCGGGGAAGCGGGGTCGGGTCGGCGCCGCCCGCTCCTGCACCAGCGCTCCGGCCCTGTATTCCGGGAATCAAGTCGCATTTTGGAAAGCGAAACCACGTGCGCCGGCGGGTCCGCATTTCCCTTGCAAACTCCATTCAAACGCCGTCCAGGCGGGCGCGGGGCGCACTCTCTCCCTGCTTCCTGAGCCCGCCCCGCATTCCTTCGCGGTGACTCTGGGGGAAGGGTCGAAAGAGGCAAGAGTAGGAGGGAGAAGACCCTGCTCCCCGGCAGCCGCCCCACCCAACTGGGGGGCCCCTCCTCGCCTAGGGGTGCTCACAGACCGCCGGCCGGCCAAAGGGCGCGCGTGGGGCGTCTGACCGGCCCCCCGCGCGGTTCCCGGTACTCGTAAGCCCCACTCAGCCTCGGGGCGACCCATCGGGCCGCCGCCCCCAGACGAGGGCGGGGCCGCCGCGGGGAGGGGCCTGAGCGGGTTTAAATTCGGGCGGCGTCGCAAACCGGCCGAGGAGCGAGCGGAGGGACTGCGTGTTGAGCTCTGGGGTGCCGTGCGGACAGGTGGGACACCCGGGCCGGGGCGGGGTGGCCACTGAGCGAAACCGAACCACCTGCGCGGGCGCTGGGCCTGGGGCCGGCGGAGGCTGGGGTGGGGGCGCAAGGCGCCCGCGGGGTGGCCCGGAGCTCCGGACTCCGGCTCGGCCGTTTTCCCACCCTGCGCAGTCTGAGCTCCGGCCGAGCCGGGCGCTGTGGCCGGGTCCCCTGTCCACCAGCCCTGGTGGTGGTGGTTGGGGGTGGTCCCGGCAGTCGCCCCCGAGCCCGGGGCGCGGGTGGGAAGGCTGAGGTTCCCCGCATGGGCGCGGGAGATGCGGCCCGCGGTTCCCGGCAGGACGGGTGCGCCGCTCTGGGCGGGCGCTGCAGGTCCGGTCCCTCCCCGTCCCGCTGCAGGACGGGGGGGCGTGTGCGGCTGGGGCGGGCCGGGACGCTCCGGCGCGAGGCAATTAGGCTGATAAATTGAGCGGGCGGGCACGTCTCCTGGCGGCTGCTGGGGTGAGGGAGGCCTGCGCTAACCCACTGGGGGGCTACCTGCTGCCGGGGGTGGGAGGGCACAAGGACGCCCGCGTTGGGTCATCTCAAGACCCTTGGGAAGCAGAGGCGGGAGTGGCTCTGCCCATCGCGCACCCGCTCCCCGTGGACCCAGAACCCTACCCGCTCATCAGCCTTGATCTCTGTCCCGTGGGGCTGGGCGGATCTTCCTGCAGCTGCCCACAAATGGGCAGAGGCCAAGGTTGCAGCCTCTCTGTGTGAGCCTGAGGACGCCTGGCCACCTGGCTCTGTTCTGACCTGGCTCAGGTGCACAGCCAGCCAGCTCCCTGCCCCCACCCCATCCCAGGCTGGAGTGGGGGGGCCGTGAGGCGCTGACAGATGGGGCCCACCCTCCTCAGGAATTGCCCTCCCACCCTTTTTTGCCTGGGGGCCGCCTGAGGTAGGGCTACTCCAGGGAAGCCACAGGAGGGGCCCTGCTCCCTTCTCAGATTCCCTTTGCTGTCTCTCCCAGACCCGAGGCCACCAGCCCCTGTGGTCACACACCGGGCCCAGTCCGTTGGTGGCCACCTCTCTGGAATCTTTTGGCTTCTGTGACATCGGGCTTGCCTGGGTCTCCCTCTCCCGCTCCCCAGGCCCTGGACACTCCTCACATGCCCTGGTCAGTCTCTACTGAGCTCCAGACCTGTCTGTCCAGCTGCCCTCCCAAGGTCCCCACAGACTCAAGGTGCTGAGTCCCAGGACCTTCCTCAGTTCCTGCCTGGGCAGGGCCCAGGGAGACTCACACCAGGCCCAAGGTCACTGCTGACAGAACAGGGTGTGGTCCTGCAGCTGCTGCTGCATGGGGCCCCAGGCCCCCACTGCCTGCTCCTGCCCCTCAGGCACCCAGCCCATCCCCCGTGAATCCCCTGTGCAGGGCACTGGAGCCTGCTGCTCGCAGTTTGTATTGGCTCCTTTGGGTTTCCTGTCTAGGTGCCGCCCCTCCCCCACAGCACAGCCGGTCTGGGCTCTGGGCTGGCTGCCCATGTCCAGAGCAAGAACCACCCACGGCCGTGCCCACCACGCCGCTCCTGCCCCCGCCGTGGCCCAGAATGCCCTTCTCCCCCTTTGCTGGGTAGTGAGGTGCCTGTCTTCTCTCCCACCCTCATCCCCTGCGAGGGGCAGGGGCACTGTTCTCATTCCCCCGGTAGCCCTGTTACCTGGTACTTGGGCTGAGACTGGGGCAGGGCTGGATGCTGGCCGCGAGTGGCTCCCTCGGGCTCACAGACCCTGTGAAGGCCATCCTGGAACAGGGCACACTTCAGAAAGGAAACACGGGGTCACGGGTGCAGGTGGGCAGCAAAGCATGTGTTCAGGTCGGGTCCCTGAAGCAGAGTCTGATACAGAGGATTAGAGAGTGGCTTCAGGATGGCCCCTATGGAAGGGAAGAGAGGAATCAGACCGACAGTGGAACAAGCTGGCCTGTCATGGAGTCCCACTCTCCCCTAGAAGGCCGTCAGAGAACCCTGCGTCCACCAAGGTCACACCGTGCCCTGGAACCCCGCTTTCGGGGCACCCATGGGCGTCTCTTCCTGGGGAAGTGCGAGGGAGAAGGTGATCAGGACAGACCCCGGCCACTACTGCAGGTCTTGGGGCCACACCGGGCCCTCATGGTCTCTTCTCCGTGACCCACTCCTCACTCCCCTCGCCCCCGCTGCACCCACCGTCTGCTGCCACAACTGGCAGAACCAGGCAGGGGAGGAGCCACATGGGCCACCACCACAGGCCCCGCTCCTCCTCATGGTCAGGTCAGTTCCCCTGCTGGGTGGGTCTTCAGGCTTCTTGGTCCTGGACACAAGGAACCAGAGTGCCCTGGTAGTAGCCGTGGCCTTCAGCTCAGTGGGACTGTGGCTGTGTCCCCTGGAAGAAGCAGTTCTCGTCTGGGACCAAGATGTCTAAATCCACCGACCCTGGAGCTGCGGAACAAGGAGCCCAAACCCTCAGTGGGTCACTGGGGTGATGGTGGGAAGGCCACGCCTGCTCCCACCCCTTAGTTCCTGGGCCCACGTGGTCCACCTGCTGGGACAGGACGTATTGGAGCAGTACCCCCTCCTGGGGTATGCGGCCACCTGTGAGCTGGTGCTTTGCTGGTGCCTTCAGAGGCCCTCTTACAACGGAGCCACCTCAGCCTGCCCTGCCCTGCGGAGACCGGGGTCTCTTCACTGGCCACTGCAAGGCCCCAGGCAACCACATGGGCTTTCACTGTCCAGTTGGTCACTTGCAGCCTTTTGTGATCTTTTTCCAAAGCCTGATTGCTTAGCCATGCCCCCCGTTCCACCATCCTATGCACTTGTCCCCATCTTAAATGCCTGGTACTGTGCCCAGAGTATTCCTGCCTGGCACGGCCCACTCGCCTCAGCTGAAATTGTGATGCTTCCTGGAGCCCAGCTCTCGCGGCCAGCGGGGTGGCAGTGGGCCCCTCTGAAGCCCCACCTCGGTGTCTGCCAGGTCCTGGCACCGACTATCCGAGACTGAGCAGCAGGTCAGCTGCAGGACCAGCAGCTATGCAAGGGAAAGGAGGGAGCAGGATCTCACCAGGAGGGTGGGTTCGATGTGGTCTCAGCGGGCAGCCCATGGGCTGTGACACCCCAAGTCCAGTCGAGGGACTGAGCCTGTGCAGCCCGGAAAGGGGTGACCTTGGGTGAGCCGATTCCCAAGGGAGCCACAGTTGGGCCATCTGCCTGCAGCCCTCCCTGGAGGGGGCTGAGTGCTGCAATCCCAGATGCGGTCTGGGCAGTGCCTCGAAGTGTCCGTCCCCCCAGGTCTGTGTGATGTCAAAGCTTGGGCTTATTACCGCTGACAGAGGGTGGCTCTGCACCCACCTCAGCCACCTGCTGCCCCCCTGCACATCCCTGACCACTGAGAAGGTCTTCCCCTGGAGGGCTCAGTCCCCCGACCCCGTGTTCACTTGCTGGCCTCACCCTGCTCCAGGGGCTGGAGGATGGCGGGGAGGGCAGGAGCAGGGAAGCCAGCCTTGAGCGACACAGCAGGTGCTCACTGTGCTGTGAGGCCAAGGGGTGCCGTGGAGGCCAGGGGCACGATGTGAGACGGGCCGGCGCAGGGGATCACCACTCGTGGGGCCAGCCATGGGGAGAGAAGAAGTGTGGGGCTTCAGGGTTCAGGCTCTGCAGAGTGGATGGCGGCAGACAGCTAGTCACAGGGCGTGAGCGGCTGCGGGGGTGTGGGTGAGTTTGAAGCTCCTCGTGAGACTGCCGGGCACAGGTGTCCAGGAGGCAGCTGGACTCGTGGTTCTGAACTCTGGGACAGGCTGGGCTCAAGCTGCCAATTTTGGGAGCTGAGGGCGGTCACAAGGAGCTCTCTGATTTCATGAGTAAATGGAGATGGAGCAGAATCAGGGGGAAGAGGCCCCACACCCCGGAGATTGGGGGCCGTCAGATCGGAAATGGGTATGTAGGGTTTGGCAGTGGAGTTGGAGGTCGCCTCAGCAAGAGCTGTGCAGTGGGGGCGAGGGGCAAACGAGGGGCCTGAGCCTTCTCGGGAGACCCTGTGTGGGGTGCAGGAGTTCGAGGAGTGGGCTTTGGGGAGCTGGTCGGGAGGCAAGGACAGGTGTTGACAGGCTCCTGAGCAGACAGACAGCGCCCGCAGGAATGAGGGTGTGGAGCAGGGCGGGGGACTACAGGGGTAGTTCCGAGGAAACGGGGAGTGAACCCATTCACAGGGCAGGGGAGGGAGGGAGGCCCAGTCGTTTTGAGGCTGTCGCAACAGTTATCACAACCTGGGCGGCTTAAAACAACAGAAACTTATTCTCTCCCAGTTCGAGAGAACAGAATCTGAAATCAATGCTTCTGGCATCTGGCGGCCATCCTTGGTGTTCCTGGGCTTGGAGCTGCATCGCTCCAGCCTCCCTCCGTCGTCACCGCCCTTCTCCCAATCTCTGTCTTCCCATAAGGACACCAGTCCTGTTGGATTAGGGCCCTCCCTATTCCATGTGACCTCATCTTAACTTAATTCCATCTGCAAAGACCCTATTTCCAAATAAGGCCACAGTCGTAGGTACTGGAGACAAGGACTTGCACGTATCCTTCTGGTGGCATGATTTAACCCAGCATAGAAAGGGACAGCCTGGGTGAGGAGGTTGGTGTGCGGGTGTGATAGGGGCCAGAGGTTAGGCCCCTGTCACCACTGCCGAGAGGATAAGGGTGCACAGCTGTCTGCTGAGAGGGGATAGCCGTGGAGGGTGCTAAGGCTTTGAGCCGGCTGACCAGGGACCAGCAGGGCGGGGAGACCCGAGCTCGGCCGTCAGCAGGGCCAGCAGGCTGGCGCTGAGTCTTTGGTCTCCCAGGCCCCCCAGGCCAGGTGTGGGCGCTGAGAAGCCAGAGCCCAGAGGGCCCAGAGCTGAGCCATGAGACTTTGGAGTTCTGGCTGGAGCCCACTGGGGAGCCCAGAGGGAGTGGGCACCAGGGCAGAGGCTTCTGGAGCAGCAGGTCTGGGTGGGGGAGGGTTTGAAGGAGGTCACTGAAAGGGGAGGTGGAAGAGGATGAGGCAGGGTGCTGATGTCCACGAACACGTGGAGGCCACCCCAGGGGTGGTGGGGGATGGAGCCTTTGGGGAGCAAAGCGGGGGCGCAGTTGGAAGGTGTGGGTGCTGAAGCTGAAGGTGGGAGGAGCCATGGCCCAGGGGACACAGGGGCTGAGCTGGGACATGAGCACAGAGGGCCCCAGCCCCCTGCACCAGGACCGGGGGCACGGGCCTGAGGGTGTTGTGCTGGGATGGAGGCCAGAGGATGGCCTACAGGAGAAGTAGAGCCGCACGTCCCTACAGGCTACCTGGCTGGCCTGGGGTCCCTGTGCTCACAAGGTCCCTCCTGGGACCCGGTGGCGCAAGGGGATGGACCCCACCTGGATGCCGATCCTCATCCCCCTGGAGGGCCAGCCATGCCTAGGCGGATCTAGGGTCTGGGATTGACCCCCTGACCGTGTCTCCGGCCCGCGCACCAGTGCCATCCCAGAGACCCTAAGGGAGCATTTCCACCCCCTGCAGGCGCAGACACAGTGGACCTCGGGTGAGAGTTCTGCACAACCAGCCAGACGTGATGAATGGCCACGTCTCTCCTCCTCTTGATGTCCTGGTCACCAACAACACTGAGCCAGCCATCGTCCCCAATACCATGAAGGCCATGCTGGGAGCTGGCACGCCCTCTGGGCCCCAGGCTGAGGCAGCGTCGTCCACCCAGGCTAGAAGCATCGCTGGGGTGTATGTGGAGGCCTCGGGCCAGGCCCAGAGTCTCTACACTGCCATGAAGCAGGGCCTCCTACCTCGTGGGCTCGGGCTGGCTCTGCTGGAGGCCCAGGCGGCCACTGGGGGCCTTGTGGACCCTGCCCAGGGCCAGCTGCTCCCCGTATCTGAGGCCCTGCAGCAGGGTCTGGTGGGCCTGGAGCTGAAGGAGAAACTGCTGGCTGCCGAACGCGCGGTCACTGGGTATCCAGACCCCTATGGGGGTGGGAGGCTGGCCCTCTTCCAGGCCATCGGGAAGGAGGTTGTGGACAGGGCACTGGGGTGGAGCTGGCTAGAGGCCCAGCTAGCCACTGGGGGCCTGGTGGACCCCATCCGGGGCGTGCGTGTGGCTCCAGAGCTGGCCTGCCAGCAGGGCCTCCTGGATCAGGAGACATGGCATAGCCTGTCGGAGCATGAGTCCGGCTCGGGTGCCCTGGGCTTCCTGGATCCCAGCACTCTGGAGCGGCTGCCGTACCGTGAGCTGCTGGGCAGGTGTGTGCGAGCCCCTAACACAGGGCTGGCCCTGCTGCCCCTTAAGATCACTTTCCGCACCCTGAGTGGGGCGGTGAGCTTGGCAGAGCTGCTGGAGGCAGGGGTCCTGGACAAGGAGACGGCCCACGGCCTGCAGGAGGGCAGGCTGGCGGTGCTGGACGTGAGCGCACGCGCCGAGGTGCAGCGCTACCTGCAGGGCACTGGTGGCATGGCGGGGGTCGTCCTGCTGCCCGCTGGCCTCAAGAAGAGCTTCTTCCAGGCCGTCACCGAGCACCTGCTCCCAATGGGCGCTGCGCTCCCACTCCTGGAGGCTCAGGCCGCCACCTGTGCGCTGGTGGAGCCAGCTACCGGCCGGCGGCTGTGGGTAGATGAGGCAGTCAGGGCAGGCCTGGTTGGCCCAGAGCTCCACAGGCAGCTCTTGGTGGCAGAGCAGGCGGTGACGGGGTACCATGATCCCTTCAGCGGCACCCGCATCCCCCTCTTCCAGGCCATGAAGAAGGAGCTGGTAGACAGGCCTCTGGCGCTGCGGCTCCTGGATGCCCAGCTGGCCACAGGCGGGCTAGTGTGTCCAGCCCGCAGGCTCCGGCTGCCCCTGGAGGCTGCCCTGCACTTTGGCTGCCTGGACGAAGAAACTCAGCTGTGTCTCTCACAGGCCGCTGGCTTCTCGGACTCCAGCACACAGGAGAGTCTGGGCTATGGGCAGCTGCTGGCCCGCTGTGTCACCGACCCAGAGACGGGGCTGGCCTTCCTGCCCCTCTCAGCAGGGGCCCTCAAACAGGAGCCGCAGGGACCCCCGTTCATCGAGCACAGCACGCGGCAGGCCTTGAGTGCAGCCATGACCACTGTCTCCGTGGGCAAGTTCCAGGGCCAGCTCGTGTCGCTCTGGGACCTGCTCTTCTCCGAGGCAGTCCCTGTGGAGCAGAGGGCGACGCTGGCCCAACAGCACAAGGAAGGGGCCCTCTCGGTGGAAGAACTGGCAGCTACGCTGAGGGCCACCCTTGAGCAGGCTGCAGCCAATGCCAGGATCACCTTTGCTGGGCTGAGGGTCGCTGTGACACCAGGAGAGCTGCTGAGTGCAGAGATCATCGACCAGGATGTGTATGAGCAGCTGGAACGAGGACAGACCACGGCCCAGGACGTGGGCAGCCTGGACTCGGTGCAGAGGTACTTGCAGGGCACCGGCTGCCTTGCCGGCCTGCTGCTGCCCGGCTCCCAGGAGCGGCTCAGTATCTACGAGGCTCGCAGGAAGGGGCTGCTCAGGCCCGGCACGGCCCTCATCCTCCTGGAGGCGCAGGCGGCCACAGGCTTCATCATTGACCCAAAAGAAAACGAGAGATATTCCGTGGAGGAGGCGCTAAGGGCCGGTGTGATCGGGCCTGACGTGTTTGCAAAGCTGCTGTCGGCCGAGCGCGCCGTCACGGGCTATACCGATCCCTACACCGGGGAGCAGATCTCCCTCTTCCAGGCCATGAAGAAGGGCCTCATCGTCAGAGACCACGGCATCCGCCTGCTGGAGGCCCAGATCGCCACGGGCGGCATCATCGACCCCGTGCACAGCCACCGTGTGCCCGTGGAGGTGGCCTACCAGCGCGGCTACTTCGACCAGACGTTGAACTTGATCCTGGCGGACCCGAGCGACGACACCAAGGGCTTCTTCGACCCCAACACGCATGAGAACCTCACCTACATGCAGCTGCTGGAGCGCTGCGTGGAGGACCCCGAGACGGGCCTCTACGTGCTGCCGCTCAGCTGCACACAGCCCCCGCTGGTGGATGGCGCCACCCGGCAGGCCTTCCAGCGCCTGCTGCTGTCGGTGAAGTACGGGCGGTTCCAGGGGCAGAGGGTCTCTGCATGGGAGCTGATCAACTCGGAATGCTTCAGTGAGGACCAGAGGAGGCAGCTCCTGCAGAACTACCGGCTGCGCAAGGTCTCTCTGGAGCAGGTCGCACAGCTGCTGGAGAGAGAGATGGGGAGGTGGGCAGACGTCACACTGCCCACGCTACGGGGCCGGGTCACTGCCTATCAGCTCCTAGAGGCCCACATCATTGACCAGGAGCTCCTGGACCAGGTGCTGGAGGGGGCAGTCAGCCCCGAGGCTCTCCTCCACATGGACAGTGTCCACAGGTACCTGCGTGGCTCGGGCGCCGTGGGCGGCGTGCTGTTGCAGCCCTCCAACCAGCGGCTTGGCCTCTACCAGGCCATGAAGCAGAAACTGCTGGGGCCGGGAGTGGCCCTGGCCCTGCTGGAGGCCCAGGCAGCCACCGGAGCCATTATCGACCCCCACAGTCTGGAGACCCTGTCGGTGGATGAGGCCGTGCGCAGGGAGCTGGTGGGGCCAGAGCTGTATGGCAGGCTGAGACAGGCCGAGGATGCCATCACTGGCTGTAGAGACCCCTTCTCTGGGAAGCGGGTGTCCCTGTTTGGGGCCATGAAGAAGGGACTTGTCCCTGTGGAGCAGGCTACCCGCCTCCTGGAGGCCCAAGTGGCCACAGGAGGGGTGATTGACCCCACCGGCCACCACCACCTCCCCATGTCCGTGGCTACCCAGCGTGGCTGCATTGACCAGGAGATGGAGACGGCCTTGTCCAGCTCCTCTGAGACCTTCCCCACACCAGACGGCCGGGGACACACCAGCTACACCCGGCTTCTGGATCAGTGTCTGAGGGATGAGGCCTCTGGCCTTCACCTCCTGCCCCTGCCAGAAAGTGCTCCTGCTGTCCCCACAGACGAGCAGGTCCGGGAGACGCTGCAGGCTACACAGGGGGCTGAGGATGGCAGGTCCCTCTGGGACCTGCTGGCCTCCTGCCACTTCACAGAGGAACAGCGCAGGGGCTTCTTGGAGGACTTCAGGGTGGGGAAGACCACCGTGCAGCAGCTGCAGGCGGCTGTGTGGAGGTGGGTGCAGGAGGTGGAGCTCCTGGCACGGGCCCGTGTCACAGTGCCCGGCCCTCGGGGCGAGATCCCCGCCGTCTGGCTGCTGGATGCTGGCATCATCACCCAGGAGGCCCTGGTGGCTCTGGCTCAGGGCACGAGGTCGCCCGCCGAGGTTGCCGAGCAGCCCGAGGTGAAGGCCTGCCTGTGGGGCACGGGCTGTGTGGCGGGCGTCCTGCTGCAACCCTCGGGGACCAAGGTGAGCATCACCCAGGCCATAAGGGACGGCCTCCTGCCCGTGGGCCTGGGGCAGAGACTGCTGGAGGCCCAGGTGGCATCTGGCTCCCTTGTGGACCCTCTGACCAACCAGAGACTGTCAGTGGAAGGTGCGGTCCAGGCTGGTCTGGTGGATGGAGCCCTGGGTGAGCAGCTCCGGCAGGCTGAGGTGGCGGTGGCTGGGTACACGGACCCTTACTCGGGGGGCGCCCTCTCGCTGTGGCAGGCCATGGAGAAGAGGCTTGTGCCCCAGAGCGAGGGCTTCCCCCTTCTGCAGGCACAGCTGGCCACAGGGGGTGTGATGGACCCCATCCATGGGGTGCACCTGCCCCAGGTGGCAGCCTGCAGACTTGGCCTCCTGGACGAGACGACACACCGGGCGCTGACCACGAAGGATGAGGACAGCAAGTTCTTCTTCGACCCCAGCATGCGGGACATGGTGACATACCAGCAGCTCAAGGAGCGCTGTGTCCTGGACGCCGACACTGGCTTGTGGCTGCTGCCGCTCCCCCAGGACGTGGCGCTTGAGGTGGACAACCACACGGCGGTGGCCCTGAGGGCCATGAAGGTGCCCATTGGCACGGGGAGGTTCAAAGGACTCAGTGTGTCGCTCTGGGACCTGCTGCACTCGGAGTATGTCAGCATCCACCAGCGGCGGGAGCTGGCGGCGCTCTGCCAGTCCGGGAGGGCCACAGCCCTGCGACAGGTGGTCAGCGCTGTCACTGCTCTGGTTGAGGCCTCAGAGAAGCAGCCCTTGAAGGCCGCCTTCAGAGGGCTCCGGAAGCAGGTGTCAGCCAGCGACCTGTTCAGGTCCCAGCTGATCGACAAGAAGACGCTGGACGAGCTGAATCAGGGGAGGAGGACCGTGCAGGAGGTGACGGAGATGGACAGCGTGAGGCAGTTCTTGGAAGGAGGCAACTTCATCGCCGGGGTCCTTGTCCAGGGCACGAAGGAAAGGATGAGCATCTCAGAGGCCCTGAGGAGGCACGTCCTGCGGCCAGGCACGGCCTTGGTGCTGCTGGAGGCACAGGCTGCCACGGGCTTCCTCATTGACCCTGTGGAGAACCGGAAGCTGACCGTGGAGGAGGCGTTTGCAGCAGGGATGTTTGGCAGGGAAACCTACCAGAAGCTGCTGTCAGCCGAGCGCGCCGTCACAGGCTACACCGACCCCTACACCGGGGAGCAGATCTCCCTCTTCCAGGCCATGAAGAAGGGCCTCATTGTCAGGGACCACGGCATCCGCCTGCTGGAGGCCCAGATCGCCACGGGCGGCATCATCGACCCCGTGCACAGCCACCGCGTGCCCGTGGAGGTGGCCTACCAGCGCGGCTACTTCGATGAGGAGATGAACCGCGTCCTGGTCGACCCGAGCGACGACACCAAGGGCTTCTTCGACCCCAACACCCACGAGAACCTCACCTACGTGCAGCTGCTGCGGCGCTGCGTGCGCGACCCCGACACGGGGCTCTACATGCTGCAAGTTGTAAAGAAAGGAGAAACCTACATGTATGTTGATGAAGCCACAAGGCAAGTTCTGCAATCCAAAACTACGAAGGTGCACGTGGGGAGGTTTGCGAATCAGATGGTCTCCTTCTGGGACCTGCTGTCCTCCTCGTATTTCACAGAGGAAAGGAAGCGACAGCTTGTCCAGGAGTACAGAGCCCAGAAATTGCGCATAGAGCAGTTGCTGGAGGTCATTACCACGACAATCAAAGAAACAGAAGAGCAAAACCAAGGCATCACGGTAGCAGCCATTGGCGGGGAGGTGACAGCTGCAGAGTTATTCAACTCTGGAATCATTGATAAAAAGACCCTGGATACACTGCACAGGGGGCAAGGACGGGGGCAGGACCTCAGCAGGCTAGAGCACGTGAAAATCTATCTAGAAGGCAGTGGCTGCATTGCAGGGGTGACTACACCTGCCACCCAGGAGGTGATGAGCTTCTACGAGGCCAGCAGGAGAGGACTCATCCCCATGGGGTTTGCGACTCAGCTGCTGGAGGCGCAGGCAGCCACAGGGTTCATGCTGGATCCCCTCAGCCACCAGAGGCTCTCGGTGGACGAGGCCATGGCTGTCGGCCTGGTGGGGGACGAGTTGCAGGAAAGGCTTCTGAATGCAGAGAAGGCTGCCAAAGGCTACACGGACCCAGCCACGGGAGACACGATCCCACTGTTCCAGGCCATGAAAAGGAAGTTAGTGAAACAGGAGGAGGCACTCAGACTGCTGGAGGTGCAGGTGGCCACAGGGGGCATCATCGACCCACTGAACCACCACCGGCTCCCGCTGGACACAGCCTACAGACGTGGCTGTCTGCACCAGGACGTGTACCCGCTCATTTCAGGTCAGAGGGGCATGAATAAAAGGTTTGTGGATCCCAACACGCGAGAGAAGGTGACATACCAGGAGCTGCAGGAGAGGAGCCGCCATGAAGAGGGGGCAGGCTGGGCTCTGTTTCCTGTGGTCAGCGATGGGAAGGACTCCGAGTATATCGATGAGGCAACAAGAAGTGCCCTCGAGGCTGAGCGGATAGAGGTCACGGTGGGAAGGTACAGGGGACAGACGCCATCAGTGTGGGAGCTGCTGAACTCCGAATATGTGACAGAGGAGAAGAAGCTCGAGTTAGTAGGTGAATACAAAAGAGACACAGCACGTGCACTAGAAAAGGTAGTAAAAGTTATACTTCAAATAATTGATGAGAAGGAAAAGAGCCATAAACAATTATGGTTCAGAGGCATCAGAGGACAAATCAGAGCGTCTGACCTCTTCCACTCTGCAATCATAAGCAAGGAGACGCTGGAGGAACTGGAGAGAGGAGAGAGCACAGTGGAAGACATCCAGGAACGCGAAGAACTCAAGCGCTACTTGGAGGGCACGAGCTGCATCGCGGGCGTGCTGGTGCCCGCCAAGGACGAGCCGGGGCGGCAGGAGAAGATGAGCATCTACCAGGCCATGTGGAAGGGCGTCCTGCGGCCGGGCACGGCCCTGGTGCTGCTGGAGGCGCAGGCGGCCACCGGCTTCGTCATCGACCCCGTGCGCAACCAGAGGCTGTCCGTGGAGGAGGCGGTGGCCGCGGGCGTGGTGGGCAGCGAGATCCAGGACAAGCTGCTGTCGGCCGAGCGCGCCGTCACGGGCTACACCGACCCCTACACCGGGGAGCAGATCTCCCT